TCCCATCATGAGCAGACGGCGTAACTCCGTGCACGCGCTGTCGCGCAGTAGGCTTGCGTGGTAGGCTTGCGCGCAGTGCGCTGAAGGTCCTGCGCACGCCATCAGTTGGGCGGCGTGCCATCGTCATTTGGATGACGTGTCATCATTGATTGGGTGGCGTGCCTCTATTTTTCGCTCTACTGTCACGTTGCGTCGTCCATCCATCGGTCACATATGTCAATCATCACATTACTTCTTTTCCTATTGACATTCTCTCTCCTCACCAGATTTTACCACTTGTCACAAATCCGACAATCCTCATTTTCTATAAATATGGACCCTCACTTTATCATTTCCTCATCACTTCCATTCCATTTTTCCATCCTCTAGGAGCTTAGAGAGAGAGGAGGAAGAGAAGAAGAAAAGATGTAGAAAATTTTGAGATTTCGATAAAAAATTTAGTATTTACTTTTAAATATCCTAAAAAGCATTTATAGAACAAATTTATGAAGTTTGAATTTATGATTTGCATGATTAGATTTTAATATTTAAATAAAGTAAATTTTATGTGGTAATGCATGTTTTGTGATCATACATGAACTTGTTAATTTGCATGCGATTTAAATGATTTAATACTTGAAATCAATACTAATATGTGATGCAATTAATGGTGAAAGTGATTAAGCATGAAATAGTGTATAGACATGAGAAACATGTATATGCAACGACATGTATAATTCATACAGTATTTTGTTAGACTTTGTATCTCTGAGGGATTTCAGTTTCTTCTTCATTTGTCTGAAAAGTATGAGAGGACTGCTCCTTATGGATTACGGCGTACCCTCTAACAAAAGTGGTGACATAATATTACTGTAGGGGTCACATTTGACGAAATACGATCATGGTCATAGTCTTACTGTAGGACTACTGTGGTTGGCACGACCGTGGTCATAGATCGTGTCATGGTTTGATAAGTCGCAAATGTGCTGTTAGTTAGGCAAGCTGTAAATTGTTGTTATATCTGACCTAGTCATTCCATATGGGTAGTCAAAAATTCGTACTGCCCTCACTAGATGAAAATCAGAACGATTTCGTGAAAAATGACACAAAAAACTGTACATATCATGATTTGTTTGATTTTCTCTATTATCAGCATGATTGATTTAATTGATATGAGCATGACAATGATGAATTTGATATTCTCTTTAATAAAAAATTATTTTCATAATTCAAGAAAGGACCTTGACGTGATTCTTGATGGTAAGTGTTGATAATATAATTATTCATTTTTAAAATCTTATGATATTATTTAAATACTGTTTTTCTTACTGAGTATATGAAACTCATCACTTTTTATGCCCACTCTAGATGAGGAAGATAGTGAAAAACCGATCATTGACTTATCCTTTGAAGTATTTGAGGATCCCGCAGATCCATAAAAATTTGAGTGCATGACTTGTCTCGCACTTTAATGAATCCTATTACATAGTGATAAAAATCTTTTTTTTTTATTTTAATATTTTGTATTTTGTTACTACTTCTAGCATCGGTTATATATATATATATATAATTATAATTCATATATTTTGTAAGAGATTTGTAATAATTGCTCCGCTGTATAAAATTAATTATTATGCACTTTTAATCTGTTTTTTTATCTGACATTTTTATACCTTAATTAGCATTTGAAATGTCACACAATAAGTCTCTAAATCATGCTATAATTGTATTATTTTCGAATAGTATATAATTATAACTTTCTATTTTTTTTTTAAGATGCATTAAATTTAATAAAAAATAATTTTTGCGTTAAATTTTCTTACAATTAAAACTAATAATAATCATAAAAACAAAAGAATTAAACTAAATCATATTTAATTATTAAAAATCATGAAAATTAATTACAACAAAACCAAACGTGAAATCACATTTTCTCCTAAAATAAGTAAATAATTTTAATATGGAGTCCAGTGACTGAGGACGTGGAATGGTGGCGGCAAGCGCTTACGTGGCACTAAAACAGTAATGGGAGCTGAACCTTAACTAATCAAGTCAATTGTTTTCTGTCACTTGCAGTTCCAAAGACAGAAAAGAAAAAATTAAAAAAATAATAAAATTGTCTCACAGAATGAACAACGAAAAAATAAAAAAAGATAAAAAAAAGAAACATAAAATATAAAATATTTATCATTTTCCAGAACGGTCACGCAGTGCAGCAGACTTGAACCATTAACTGGACTCTACCCTCTTTCTCTCGCTAGTCATTTTAAGATAAAGAGAAAGGAGAGAGAAAGAGTAATCATTGCAGAGAGTTTCTTCTCTTCAAAAAAAGAAAAAAGGAAACTAAAGAGCAGAGCAAGTTTTTATGTAGAGATAGAAGCTTCTTCTTTCTAGATTTTCTTTTTCGTGTTTTTTTTTTTTTTTTTTAAATATAAACTGCTCGCTTCACTTTCTTGCAGTTGACAGCTCAATCCACCTTTCAAAAGAGAGAAAAGGGTCTTCAAAATCGAGCTAACCTATTACTGGACAAAAAAGGAGATCTCTGTGATTTCTCTTTGGTTTTGTTTATATTCAACGCCAAGAAATTCCCACCATTCTGATTCTTCCATTCAAAGTTATCTCTTTCTCCTGTTGTTCAACTTTTTCTATGCTCCCTTTTGTATTTCATTTTCTTTTTGGGTCTTGTATGCTGGGTTTTTGTTCCTTTCTGTTTTCATTTTCGGTGATTCTGATACTGTTTCGTGTTTCTGGGTTTTGGGTACTTTTTAATTTCTAATGGGGTTGGCTTGAAAATTTTAATTTTTGACGTTGAGGGTCTAGGTTTGGTGGTTAGTGAGAAAAAGATGATGGAATGGAAGAGAAATCCGGGATTTGTTTTCCTCATGTGATTCACTTGTGTGGGAACTGGATAGTAATGTGACGTCTTTGAGTTTCTGGCTCATTTTCCATCGGAAACAAAAAGAAAATTTGACAGCAAAGCTGATGTTAGCTAAGCTTGTTAATTGAGAGGAAATTCTTGGCTTATGCTTTTTACCATTGACAACCAGTCAAAGATATTAATTATTGAACTTATAGCTTCCTTTCTTTCTTAATTTGTCTTAAGTAGTCAAAGAGTTTTATTGTTGAACTTATAGCTACTGTTCTCTCTTAATTTGTCATTTATAGATTGGCCATGTTCAGCATGTAATTAAGTTAGAGTTAGATTAGCTGCTAAGTGGGATAAATCTTCTATGGAGAAAGTCTGCTTTGATTTACTAGAATATAAACAATAGATTAGTTCATTTCCTATTGGCATTTGGTAAAATCGGATTATTTGTCGTGTTATCAAAATCTGTATTTTAGCCTTCGAATACTAACTGCCCTATTAATTTTTGATTAAGGGTTTTTTGTTGACTCATGCAATCAGTTTGGAGGCCTTTCTGCACTGCAATATGAATAATATATTGAATAATTTCCTCTTTGTTTAAGCTTTTGGGAAGGTTCAACTCTGTTATTTTACTTGATTTGGTCTGTGTAAATGGAGTTTTGCAGAAACTTCCTTTACCTACCTTAGTTGGCATAAAAAAGATGATGATATACAGAATAGACATGTTGTAAAACCAAAATTTAGTATGTTACATGTGAATGTTCTCGATAAGCTGTTCTTACTTGTTGAGTACTTCTGCATTGAGGTGCCATATATAAGCATGCAAATATAATTTTGCTAAAAAGAAGTAGATGAATCTCTTAGTAGCTTTTCAATAAATATGTTAATCTCATTTCATATGCCATTTTACTGCTGTCAGCCTTGGTTGTGTTTCTATGTTTAAGATAGATAATCGATTGAGGGATCTCATTGCAGAAGTGGAACTTAGTCATGTGGTTTCTTGGAAATCATGTGTTTCTGTCTGTTGATTACATAAGTTGATGTCATTGGAGATGGCTCCTCTTCTTGCTGTTTTGATATGGAGCTGCTTCTACTCCTATGTATTGGCTGATTCACAAGGTAATGTTATTTAGATGTGAGTTCTCTTTATTTTTTTTTTCACAAAAAAGTACAATATTGACAGTCTGGTTCCTTTTCTATTTAATTCATAGTTCTAATATTCATATAGCATCCCATTTTTTTTAAAGATAAAGAAAGAAAATATAATAATAGTAGACATTATGGGGTTGCCACCCATCTATAAGGAGCTACAGAAATTCAGAAATCAAAATGTCTTTAAGGTTCTCCAAATCCTCTCTAGAAGAACAGGATGTCTGAAAACAGAACACTCAGGGTATGGAAACAATAATTTCTAATTTCCATTGAAAGAAGAGCAGGTTATCTAAAAAAACTTGTAATAACCCAAAAGATAGAAGTCGAATTCTCATCATCAACAAATTCTGGTTGGGTGGGATACCGAAACAAAAGGACAAAATTCTTCTATATCAAGACTAATATAAATTACCCAAAAGACAGGAATTGAATTCTCATCATCAACAAATTCAGATTGTGTTGAATACTGAAACAAACAAAAAGAATTCATGTATAACAAGACTGATACAAATGACAGAATTAGGAACTGATTAGGAATTGAATGGGAAGTGAATCGAATTCTCATCATCAACAAATTCAGATTGTGTTGAATACTGAAACAAACAAAAAGAATTCATGTATAACAAGACTGATACAAATGACAGAATTAGGAACTGATTAGGAATTGAATGGGAAGTGAATCGAATGTAATTTTAGTACATTTAGATACTTTGCTTGATGTTATTAATTTCACATCTTTAATATGATGAGATATGATGAAAGACAATACAATATATGGGCAAACACAAAATTTGCAGTCAAGGCCGGTTAGCTCTTGCGTGAGTTACAGTGTGGAAGATAGCTGATTTTCTATTTTCTATGTAGTATATGTGTCAAGCTCTTGCGTGAGTTACAGTGTGGAAGATAGCTGATTTTCTATTTTCTATGTAGTATATGTGTCAAGAAACCGCTGAAGCCTCTAGTGGTTGATTACAGAAGAAAGGGCAAAAAGGGAAATTTGTGCACAGGGCGAAAGAGTCGTTTCCCATGTAACAGATTAGGGTTAGGGTTTGTTGTAATAGATAAACCGACTGAAAGTGACCCCTATCTGCCAGCTGTTCGGCGGTTGCAACCTCCAGTCGGTTCCCATTCCCCTTTCCTGCTCATTTTTTCTGTCATTTGTAGCCTATAAATAGGCATTTTCTCCATGAATAAAATCAAATGAAGAATATATTTACCTCAAGCAATCAATCAATCAATCTTTCTTTGTTTCTCTCTCTCTCTCCCTCTCTTATAGATCTGAAGACATGAGTAAATCTTCTGATGAGGTGGTATTAGAGCCCTTGGAGTTGGCTGAGCGTACCCTGCGGTCACCTCACGTACTAGATCCAAAGGAAAGGCGGCGATGGTGAAACACGTGATAGCAGTGGCGGCCGAATCCACCATGAACAAAGTAGATCAGCGGCTGACTGAGTTCATGAAAGAGATATGTGAATAGCAGTGACAGTTCCGCCAACAACTTGAAGTTATTGTGGAATGGATTTGTGGGGAAGCACCGTTGGGAGAAGTGTTAAAGCTGTTAGCGACAGAGGCATGCAGGAGAAAAAGCGTTTTGCCTTCTTCTCCCCTGTGCGAGTCGGCTTTGGGAAGTACCCTAAAGTCGGGCGCTATAGAAAAAAGGGTTGGGTCCGATTCAAGTGAAAAATGGTGGACCAATTCAATCAAGGGCGTGAATCGAACCGGTCCAGTGGAGAGTTTGAACCGAATCAATCCATTGGAATCCCTGAACCAAACTAGTTCATCTGCTACATTGAACCGAACTTGTCAATGCAAATTATTTCCCTTTCAAAGGTAGAGATTCCCCTGTTTGAAGGAGCAAATCCCTGCACCTGGGTCAGGAGGTGTGATAAGTATTTTTTGGTGCACAACACACGGGATGAGCAGAAAGTTGAAGTTGTATCCCTCTTTTTGGGAGAAATTGCGGATTTGTGGTAACAAAGGTTGCTGGGAAAAAATGATGAGGTAGAGTGGGAATATTTCATAAAAGGGGATTCCCTGAAGACTTGGAGGACCTTTGCGGAAGGATTTCATAGAAGAATTTAACAAATTCATGCAAACTGGGACTGTTCTAGAATATCAAGCACGGTTCGAGCATTTGTATGCCCTAATGAACAATCCCAGTTTGTGTTAATTTGTTAAATTGTACGCCACAATGAACATGGAAATCCCACCATTTCGGAGAAATACTTTTTATTTAGCTTTATCAGCAGTCTCAAACCATAGTTACAGACAATTTTAAGATTGCTTAAGCCACGCACACTTAATCAAGCCTTTAAGCAAACTCTTGCAGGAGCAATTCATAATTGAGATTTCAAGGTGTTCATACTTCACGGAGAGAACTATTTATTCATTTGGTGGTTCAAGGGGAATGTTAGCTCATAAGTCCGAGTGCGTAGGAAGAGAAACAAAAGTAAGGAAATCAATGACATCACACTACAAGTGTGATGACTATTATTTCTTAGAATACCGTTGCCAAAATAAGACTATAGTGGTAGTAGAGGAACTGTCCAACCAAAGACATACTGGAAAAGATGGAGATCATGGATGAAGGAAATCCAACAAGAAACTTTGTCCATACAGACAATGGAAGGGATTTCAATGGACAATACTCTTAAAATTAGAGGAACACTGATCGGATGGAATGTGGTGGACCTTATTTCTTAGAACACTGCTGTCAAATAAAACTATGATGACGATAGAGGAAGTGTACAACCAAGAAGACATATTGGAAAAGATGCCAGAGAGGAGATCATGGATGAAAGAAATCCAATAGGAAACCTTGTCCATACAAGCAATGGAAGGGATTTCAGCAGACAGTACCCCTTAAAATCAGAGAGATACTGGTCGGAAGGGATGTGCTAGTTTTGCTAGACAGTGGGAGTTCACACTCGTTTCTGGATGAGGGTATGGTTAGAGGAATTAAGAATCGAGTGGTTAATGACAAACCACTTATGGTGATGGTAGCAAATGGGCAATGAATCACTAGAAGTGTTGAGTGTCCAGAGGTTACTTGAATAATGCAGGGTTACTCGGGTACAACTTCGAAGTAATTCAACTTGGGATTGAATTATCTCATCCAATATAAGGGGGCCACAGATACAGTTGCATATGTTTTACCCAAAAGAGAACATGTCGATCATTCAGCAAAAGTCCTTTACACTATCACCGCTACTACTATTGCTTTGGTATGTGAGGTGTCCAAAAAGTATGATGGTGACTGTTTTGTTCAACTACTCATCACACTCATGTTTTCCTTGCAAAACAAGCCATCTTTCTATCTTTTTAATGGACTTCTGTGATACAATAGGGAGGCTAGTCATTGGCGACAACGAAGAACTACGACATCATCTCCTTTATCAATGCCATAACTCTACCACATAATGTCATTTTAAGCATCAAGACCACCGATGAGCGAAGCAACCAATATTTTTATTAGCCCAACATGAAGAAACAAGTTACTTAAAATGGGTGCAATAGTGTGATATTTGCCAACACTGTAAGGATCAAAAGGTGCCCATCCCAAGACTCTTACATCTATTACTCATACCATCCCAAGTTTGGATCACATATCAATGGATTTCATCGAACAATTGCTCAAGTCCGAGAATAAAGACATTATTCTAGTGATAGTAGAGCGAAGTTTATTCCCTTATGGCATCCCTTTACAGCTCAAGGAGTAGCTTGTCTTTCATAGAGACTATTTACAAGTTGTATGGAGTACCGCATGTTATAGTATTAGCCAGGGATCCCTTGTTTGCTAGTCTCTTTTAAAAGGAACTAATGAAAGCAGTTGAAACTAGCCTTTATTTCAGCGTTATTTATCATCCTCAAATAGATAGTCAAACAAAGCGACTTAATCAATGCCTGGAGATATACTTACGATGCATGGCTCATGACCGATCCAAAACATGGGTAAAATGGTTATCCACTACTGCATGGTGGTATAACACAACCTACCACACAAGTCTTAATATGATCTCCTTGAAGGCTTAATTCTGAACAAAGTAATATGCAGATGGAAATCGCTATGAAAGAAGTTTTAAAGAACAAGATTGAGTACTGCTCAAATTACAGCTGTGCAAGCAATGTTCAATGAGACAAGCAGAAGATCCAAGCTATCACCTCGCTTCTATGGACTATTTCAAATAATACAAAAGATTGGATCAGTAGCTTACAGGCTTCAGCTGTTCCCTTCCTCTCGAATTCACTCGATATTTTACATATCACAACTTAAGGAATACACTAAAGGAGGAGGTAGAGTGATAGAGAACTTACTAGCTAATATAGGGGAAGATGTACTCAGCGTTCAACCCAAACAAATACTACAATACCAGGTCATCTTACGAGGAACACTGCCTGTAAAACAAGTGTTGATACTGTGGGAAGACACTTCAACAGAAGAATGTGCTTAGGAAGATTATGAATATCTACAACGCAGTTTTCACATCTCAACATTGAGGATAAGGTTGATGCTTGTTAGAAAACAAAGAAATTCCTAATCCACTATTTCACAATTACTATTATTAATTTATCTAAATTTGAGTGGTATAAAATATAAATTATTTAATGAACGTAGAAATTATTGATGGTTGTGATTATTCTTTACGTGTATAATAACTTTGTTTATAATTCATTAAATATAATAAAATATTCATATTACATAAAATCCATTTCATTCTTCCCATTTTCTTTTCTTACTTTTAGCATTATTTGCACAATTACCTTCAATATTATCAACAAGTAGTATTAGAGGCTTTACGATCAAGAAGGTTGTAGTACAATTTTGCTTTTCAATGGAGAAAACTATGGATATTGAAGTACTAGAATGAAGGCTGTCTTACGTACATTGGGCTTATGGGAAGTAGTAGAAAATGGTATAATTTCCATTTAAGTTGAGGGTAATACTAATACATCAACTTTAGTGACCATAGATTGGCAAAAAATGATGCAGAAGCATTAGCCAAAATTCATCTTTCCGCCTCAGATACAATATTTTCACGTATAATGAAAGTCATTTCAGCAAAAGAAGCATGAGATATCTTAAAGAATGAATTTGAAGGAATAGAAAAGACAAGAATAGTCAAGCTTCAATCATTAAGACGTGAGTTTGAGAATTTGAAAATGAGGGATAGAGACGTCATCAAAGATTATTCTTTGAGAGTAATAAAGCTTGTGAATCAACTAAAAGTGTATGGTGATAACATTATTGAACAACTAGTAGTAGAGAAAATGTTTCTCAGTTTGCCAGAAAAATTTGAGATTGTGGTAACTGTCATAGAGGAATCAAGAGATCTATCAATGTTAACCATATAAGAATTTATTGGTTCTCTTCAAGTTCATGAAAACAGGTTGTCAAGAAAACATAAAGCATCTTTAGAAGGAGCCTTCAATTGAAGCATAAACCTTCATCTTCAAGATCAAATAAAACCAAAGGTCCAAGGCAATTCAATCTGAGGAGCAACCAAAAAGGAGACAAGAAAGGTAAATTACTTAATTATAAAATTTGTAAAAAATAAAATCATGAAGAAAGGAATTGCTGGCATAATGGAAAGTCACAGTGTAGTTTCTGCAAGAAATTTGGTCACATGGAGCATGAATGCAAATTTAAAAGACAACAAACAAGCGTGTCAGAGACTATGGATGAAGAAAATCGACTATTTTATGCTTGACAGAACATCTCAATCAGAAGGATGCTTGGCTTATTGATAGTGGACGCACTAATCATATGACTAAGTGTTCTCATGCATTTAGCAAAATAGACACGTTAATTAAAGTTCCTATTAAAATGAGTAATGAAGCTATAATAAAATCTAAAGGCAAAGGTAATGTTGTTGTACAGACAAAGAAAGGCACAAGATTGATAAAAGATGTTTTATACTTTTCTGGTTTAGATTAGAATTTCCTTAGTATTCCTTAAATGATACAAATTGAGTATTGTCTTCAATGTAAGGGTGACTCTTGTTCAATATTTGATCCAAAGAGAAACTCAATTGCTAGCGTGAAAATGCAACAAAGATGTTTTCCTATACAATGACAGTATGTTGCAAGAGAAAAATCAATTCATGCTTAGATGGACGCAGTAGCATGGTCTTGGCACAATCGCTTCGGACATAGTAACTTTCAGAGTTTGAAACTAATTTTACATAAAAATATGGTGAAAGGTCTTCATGTCATTTTAGAGAAAAATGACATATGTGATGACTGTCAACTAAAAAAATGACAAGGCAATCATTTCTAGTGGGACAGTATGGAGAGCATCAAGAAACTTGAGTTAGTGCATATTGATGTATATGGTCCTATGAAATTCTTTAACTTGACAATAGTATGTATTTCATCTAATTTATTGATGATCACTCTCGAATGATATGAGATTTAATTTCATGAAAAA